TATTTATTTTTTTTTTCTTTCTTCATGATTTAATAAATCCACAGAGGGGAAAACCTGCAACATTTAAGAAAGTGAAACTGTAGTGTATCTTTCTTTGCTGCAAATTGTGTCGTTGCAGTCAGTGTCAACATGATTACATCCTCACTCCTCACTTCCTATTTCAGAGGAAAAAGCTCTATGAACTAGCCCTCTCTTCTAAGTCCTGCAGGAAACCAGTGTTGAAAATCAGATGAAAATGCTGTATTATCTCCCTTTAGGAGGGCAAAGAATGTTCAGTGCGTTGTATGGAAATTTAAAATTTGAGTGTCATAACATACTTTCTTAAATATAGTTCAAAAGCAATAAGAATTGTTTATTTGTACTAACTAATTGCATTAATATATTATTGCATAAATTGCTTATTTGTACTAATTAATTGCATTAATATATTATTATGTAATTACTTGAAATATTTTTTTTTTTTTTTTTTTCAGTTTAAAATTTGTTTGCGCTGCTTTTAAAAAGATATGGATTCTCTCTGTAAATCTAGGTGTAGCTCTTACTCATATAGTCTGGCTAAACTTTAAAAAAAAAAATAACTGTGGTAATTTCTGATTATGTGCAGTGGCGTAGCTAGGGTGGGGCAAGGGGGTCATCTGTCCACGGGCACAGCATCCAGAGGGTGCCAAATTGATATTACAAGATTTTAGAATGAAATGTTTTCCATTCTTGGCAGACAGAAAGGGGTGCAAAATCTTTAGTTGTCCCCACTCGCTGAAACCCTAGCTACGGATCTGATTATACGCACCTCCACTGAAAAGTCGAAAAAAGGTATTCAGTAAGGTGAAGCAGTATGCCCCCAAAATAGTTAATCTTTATTAATAGGGGGTTGGACTTCTCTTTGACTGAAGTACAGATTGAATGCGACGTGGGATAGATACATAAAGGTCATGGACAATATTTAAAGGAATATTAAGCCATTCCTCCTGCAGAGCAGTCTCTAATTCCAAAAGTCTGGATGGAGGTGGAAATCGGGAACAAAGTTTGGACTCCAAATATGCCCATAAATGTTCAATAATATTCAAGTCCGGAGACTGAGGGGGGCCAAGCGAGATGTTCAGTTGCATCGTCTTGCTCTTTGGACCATTCTTGAATACACCTAGCAGTATGGATAGGGGCGTTGTCGTCTTGAAAAAGCGGTCGCTCATCAGGGAATACAGTCCGGACAAAAAGATGGACATGATCCCCTAGAATGCTTAGATAGTGATTGAATGTGATCCTCCCATGCAGAATAACAAGTTGCCCAAGACCGCGCCAAGATATCGCACCCCATACCATAATAGCGCCACTCCCATGCTTCACAATCAGCAAGAGGCAGTCAGGATGAAACACTTCTTTGGGCATTCTCCAGACATAAATGCGTTCGGTCGTCTGAAATAGGGTGAATGACGATTCATCTGACCATATTACCTCTTGCCACTGTTGTGAGGGGCCAGCCCTTGTGATCTCTGCACCATTGGCGTCGCTTGAAAACAGTAGTTGCTGTCACCAAGGGTTTACGAATTGCCACTCTGCCATAAATGTTCGCAGCATGAAGTTCCCTTCTGACAGTTTTTGTTGAAACGGGGTCCTGGAGATGAGTTTTCATTTCGGATGTTATCTATTATATAACGATTGCTTGTGCTTTCGGGATACTATGCGCTTCAAGACCTGTCTATCCCTATCAGCCAGCTTTGACTTTCGGCCACTGTTGTGCTTTGAAGATGTCGCTTTACCCTCTTTCGTGTACGCTGCCATAACGGCTGATATCCTACTGTTTGTTACTGTTTTGTGTTGTTGTTTCCGTAACCGATGCTCCACTTGAACAAGCTCCAACTATCATTCCTCTTTGGAACGCTGACAGGTCTGACATTTCAACTTCTCACAGACAGTTCGATCGAAGCGTGCAACGCAGGTGACTGCTGTTGAGAGACTGATACCTTCCTTTTCACACTCACTAGGTGGCAGACTTCTGTTGCAGGTGGCGTGCCTGTACTGCAGGTGTGCAATACGTCATACTTTTTCACGGGTGTTTGCATTATTTTGTCCTCCATCTGTATATGTTATGGGCAGAATGTATTGTTGAAGTTTTACAACTCTGATGTTGTGCAATTCCCTGGTGTATTTGAAGGAAAAATAAATCATTGTGCACATAAGGAAAAGAACAGTGAAAAGAGGAGGATTTTTTTTTTTTTAAAAATGTTGAATTGCTGATGTTTCTTGCTTTTCTAATGTGATTCATTACTGTTATATGGGATTTTTAGTACACCACCATTCTCAAAATAGCTGTCAAGGGTCATTCCCACTGGGGTTTATCTGAGCTAACGGACACAACTGACATAACTCACCCATCTCCAAAACCAGTTTATTTTCATCGGGCAGCAAGTTGAAAAATCTGAACAGCAGGCATAGCAAAGCTAGTTGGCAAATGGAAGTGACTCTGTTAGCTCAGATATATCCCAATGGGAATGGCCCTTTACCTTTCATGGGTAAGCTTGGCAAAAAATTGGTTGCTAGCATGTTTGTGATTGCTCTTCTAAGTTGGCAATGAGTTTGTAAATTTTCAGTGGGAGTTCGGATACTGTACCCAAACTACTTTAAAAAGTAGTTTGTTTTAACAGTTCTAGTAAAAGTAGTTTGTTTTAACAGTTCTAGTAAAAGTAGTTTGTTTAGTGTTTGCTGAAGTAGTTTGTTGAATATAACCCACAATGGGTGTTCGAAAATGTAAAACATTATTTGCATCTTTTTATGTGCTTTTTTTATTCTTATTTCTTAGCTGCCAACTCTCCAGGTTTTGTTGGAACAGTCCCAAATTTTCATCATTTCTCCTAGTCAGTCACTTAGTCTTCCAGTTTATAATTTTTAGCCTCTTATTTCATCACTAGCAACATGGTTTGTCTTTTCAACTTGTCAAACAACAGAATGAACTTGAATGGCTGATATGATGACGTGAGGCATTAGGCAAAAGACACAAAATTAGGTTTCTTATATTGAATGTGCATATACACTTAAGTCGAAATGAAGTAAAGGGATCGTAACCTAACTGATGTGAAGTGAACTGATTGTTTTTTTGCTGCATCCATCCACATATATTTTTAATTTGATGTTGGTTATTAATTTATATTATTTGTCATTACTTGTTAAACTTATTTTCATCATATTTAAAAGTATTTTATAAATAAAAGGTTTTAGTATTTTCTGATTATCTGTATCCCTACCGAAAAGCTGCAAACTCATTGCCAAAACTGGAGAGCATTCGTGAATTCATTGAGAACTAATTTTTTGCCAAGCTAAATAGCAAAAGGTAACATTTTTAAAATGGTAACACTTTAAGAATTACAAGAACAGTCAATTATTAAAATTATAAAATGCAAGAAACATCAATAATAAAACACTTACCTTTTTTGAGAAATCTTTTTCTGTGCTGCTGTTCTCCCCACATACACAGCAATCTGTTTTTGCTTCTAAAAACATGAGAGAAAATTTAAACTCGGCCATTGCATGCTGGCCAAAAGAGGTATGTAGTACTGGCATACCTGGGTTGCCACATAGCTATTTTGGTGACATACTACTGTGTCTCATTAATACTTTTCGTGACTTTTTAGTAGGCAGTCAGAAAGTACAAGCTTCCTTTCTCTACTAGGGATTTTATCAGTATAAAAGTCTAAGAAAATTGCAAAATGAAATTAAAATTAGCCAAAACAAAATTTAGAATATTTAATTAAACATTAATATAGCTAATGGTCATGCAGCTAAGTGCATTGTAGCTAATGGTGATTACTTTAAAGGCTAGTGAAAGTATTTTGTTTGTAACTCATGTTTCCTGTATCTACTGAGACAATTCATTGACCGTTTCAGACACATCTTGTATTTTACATCAGAATCGCATCATAAATAGCTTAACAATATAAATCAAACGTTATAAAATGAACTCAAATCTGTTTGGTATTCTGTTGTAATCTCTGGCACCTATGCTATTTTCTTTTACATGCTTTTTTTTTTCGGTATAAAATTGTCAAAAAGAAATCATTTTTTTTTTAAAATTATTTGTATCTTCTGCACTTTGTGGTGCACTAATTTTTTTTGGCATACTTTCTGATTATCTGCACCCCTCCCAAAATATTGGCAACTAATTTTCTACCAAGCTAAGACAAACACACACACACACACAAAAAAAAAAAAAAAAAAAAAAAAAAAAAGGCAGCACTCTTAAGAATAACATAAAACAGCAACCAGTGATCAAAATTAAAGATGCGAGAAATATCGTTAATAAAAGGTCCTTTTTTTCTAATATTTTCCCCGAATACAGTGATCTGTTTCATTTTAAAAAAAAATCGGAGAATTCCAAAAACTCGGCAGTGCACGCAGTATTGCTCTGTTCAATAAATTTCTGTCCAATTTGGTATAAAGACAGCATTGCACACAATTTGGCACTACACATGTTGTCGTTCTCCTCATGTACACAGCAATTTGTTTTCTGTTAAAGAAATTGGGGCATTATGCAAATTTCGATCCAAAATTGTATAGTATCAGATGTACAACTTCATGGAATGCAAATTTTTACATTCTCTATTGTCAGGGAAAGGAGCTTTCTGCAGAAATGCAGTGCTTCTTTTTCATCAGCTTGCAAAATTCACAGTCCTATTATGATTCTTTACAAAAAAGGAGAAAAGTATACTCGAAAGACAGAACACTAATTGGAGTGCAACCGCATACTTGAAGCACGAAATCAGTTATAATCTGCTGCACAGGTATGCATATGCGAGTTGCTTCATAAATACATTCCGGTGACATCATAAGTAACCTGTTTTGGCTGGCAACATAGTGTGTTGACTAAAATACTTTTCATGGCTGTGTGGATAATCAGAAAGAAACTCTTTTGTTTGTTTGATTTTTAAATGATTCTTACAACCTGTGTGAAAATTTTATCTTCTGTATTACAGTTTCACAAAACTGGCATTATAATATTATTTTATTTTTAGGTTTTAAAAATGAAAATCCTAGGCGTGGAGTTTGCTCCTCTCAGAATTCCTTTGGAAAGGCGACTACAAACTGCTGCTGTATTTTATTATTGTACCAATTTTATATTTTTTGGTTTCTCTATGCTTTTCCTTTGGATATATCTCTTTTTCACAAAATATTATTTTATATCACTTCTATATCTTGCTTGGCTTATCTATGACCATAAAACATGTTGTCAGGGTGGTAGGCGTTCAGAGTGGTTACGATGCTGGTGTGTCTGGAAATATTTTGCCAATTATTTTCCTGTAAAAATGATTAAAACTGCTGATTTTGATCCAAATAAGAATTATATCCTAGGATACCATCCTCATGGTATTATGTGCTATGGAGCCTTTAGCTGTTTTGCAACAGAAGCTACCAATTTTAGTGAAGTTTTTCCTGGAATCACTCCACGGATCTTAACACTTGAAGGACAGTTTTGGTTTCCTTTTCACCGAGAACATATAATGTGCACAGGTACTGCAAGAAATATATATGTATTTTGCTAAATAATTATGTATTTTCAGATAAAAGTAAAATTTTAAAATTTACTTTCTCCTGTCAATTATACTTCAGTTTCATCTTAAATTTTCATTTATATAAAAGTTTAAGCAAATTGAAGATGTTTGTAGAAAATTTTTTTCTGTAATTTTTAGTGTATTTTGCTTTGACCTCATCCCTTTCAGTTTCTAATCAAATTTTAAAAAGTTTTTATTTTTAAAATGAAAATTTTAATGCAGTGATGTCTCACGTAACAAACATTCCCCACAAGAAATTCACAAATAGGCCAAAAAATATCCGGCATTGTGAACCTTGTGTAAGCATTGGTTTACATTATTAACACATTTGCAGAACTGAATATTTTTAGCTTCTGTTTATTTCATCAAAAACACCAAAAGTGCATCTGTACATGAACAAAGACAACAAGTAAGAGAGCAGACATTTGTTAATATTATATTGCCTTTAAAGAATTGTTCTTTCTGCCTGAACAGAAATAAAAAGGTCAGAGGATGAGTTCTTTGTAAAGAACACAAAGAGTGTGTCTTGCTACAGCCATTGACACATTCCGATGAGGGGAGGGAATATCCATTCTTCAGCCAAGCAGTAACATTCTAAATAGTTTGAGGTGAACACAGTATCAGGTCTTTCCAGCAAAAATGCAATGCATAACTTTAAACCAATTTTGATAAAGAGAGAAAAACTATGAACTTCAAACACCTTGAAAAGAGGACTTTCCAGAAACCACAAGCAATTGAACAAAAAGTTTTTTAAAAAAAATCATTCACCTCTAATGGAAATACATATTCTATTAAATTGAACTGAGAAGCTACGAGACTGTCTTCATGCATGATGTATGTAAATATTTTTTTTATCAAATAAATTCTAAGTATTCTGAACACTGTTGGAGTTTCTAATATTCTTTGGAACATTCAATGCTGTTCAGAATTTTAAACTGAGCTCTGGAAGGGATTAGATTTATATCTCTGTATGTAAAACAGCATCACTTCAAACTAATAATCTTCAGAATAAATGCCATTCTGGAATGGATCGTGTTTATTAAGTGAGGCACCATTGCACTGTTATTCTCATAGAGTAAAATTTTAAAATCTTTGTAAACATTTTTATTTTCCACTGAAATTATTTCATATGCTGTCTAAGTTTTTATATCAATATTTAATACTACCATTAATTACATACTTAAATTGCCTAGTATGAATAAGAAGTTTTGTATTGCACTATAGTTGGAATTAAGAATTTATCATCTGCTCAGTTTAGAAGTTGTTATAGCATGAAGTTCATCTGTGTTGTGTGGATTGTTATAGTGACTAGTAGGGACAGTTATATATTAGAGTTTTAAATTCTTATATTTTCTGTTATCTGCAGTATAAATAATAAACCATGGGATGTAATAGAGATTTAGGTTCATTAGTTTTTGTAATGCTTATTGCATTGCAAATGCTAAGGATGAATGTTGTTGTACAGCTTACATCCAGCTGATAGTCAGATTCTTATACTCTAATCAGCATCTCCAGTGTAAAGAGTATAGCAGTCGCAACAGTTCTACATCTTGTGTCAGGCAGTCTCCTAGTTAATAATCAAACATAAACCAGACCTTTTACATTTCCCACTGAAGAAAATCATGAGACCTGATGTCCACTGACCTTGAATATAATAACAGCATAACTATGCTGATTTGACTGTGACAATTGATGCAATGATGAGGAAGATCTAAGATGAACAGTTCCCAGATGTTCCATAGAAAATGGGGGGGGATGTTGTTGTGCTGCTATGTGTTCTGTAGCACATGCAGCAGCTAAGGAAGAAGTCAAATTTGAAGCATATCCTAGTAACCATATTCAATAACAGGTTATTGGAAAAAGAATGATTCATAAATATCTTGACTGGAAATAACATTGGAAATTTTGGGGGTTATTCCTATTCACTACAGATGTCATCTGTACTTGGTTTACCACTGGCATTTTGAGATAAAATTTTTTAGATTTTGAGATTTGTTTTGGAGATAAAATATTTATCTTCAAAACTAACCTAACTAAGGAAATCTTCAGCTGTTATTCATTTCTGCATTTCACCATGAAATTTTAATAATGTACATCATATTATCTGCTGGCTCTAGAGCTGCAGATGAAATTAACCATATGCAGTTGCTTTTTATGCTAATGGTTAGCATTACTTAATTCCTGGCTGTCTCGTACTATCTTTCGGTTAATGACATTGATTATTTCAGTTGTCACGTTTGATGCATATATTCTGTATTTTTTACTTTATGCAAGCATCTTATTTTCTGGAATTGTTATATCAGCTTCTAAAATCTCTTAAGATACTTCTTAAGTCTGTATTTAAATACCAGCTAGACTGAAGCAGCCAAATTGTATTGTAAATTTTGTACAGTACAAAGTTCGTAATCCGGACTCGTCGGGACTTCAGCGATTCCAGATTAGGGGTTTTTCCAGATTATTGATCATCAATTTAAATCTGGTAAGATGGCATGCAGAAATTATACAATTAAAAATATGAAATTGTAAGTTATGAAATAAAGAACAATTATGATCTAAAGGGTATTAAAATTTAAAAAAAAAAAAAGCTTAATATTTATTTGTTTACTTTATTGAACATTTCTTTCAATGTAAGTTGTTTAAGTTGCTTTGTTTTTTGTGCTAATACTTTCTCTTTAATTCTATAAACAGACATAATTTCTTGTTCAGTTACAAAGTTCACCTATCAGAAGTGGTATTTTCTAGATCTAGAACCATACTACAGGTTTTGTCGTCCATTAATTGATTGATGATTGGGGCATTGCCGTCGTAATGAAAAACTTCTGTTATATCATCTTCATTTATTACCGCTTCTCCAAATTTCTTTACAAAATTCAATAACTGGAAAATTTCACCTTTAGTTTGCGATGTCCGAAAACTTTCAAATTTGCGGCTATCATCTTCATCGTCCTCACCGTGAAATATGGTAGCTGGCCATAAATTATGCCAAGCATTTTTTAACGTATCTGGAGACATCCCCCCAACGTGCATGCGCATGCATAAAGCATACAAAAAAAATGAGTTTGTGGCTTTGAGGTCCGAATTATAGATCATTCCGGATAATGGACGTCCGGATTATGGACTTTGTACTGTATACAGCTCTTTGCTCACCATTTCTCATCTATCACCAAAGAATCTTAATTGGTAGAATTGGAATTACTGTGTTATTGAAGTTTAATAACACAGTAACGCCATGTAAAAAAATTAAGTTGAAAATGTGTAAGGCATCGATAAACTTTATAGACTTAAAGACAGGTCTTGAAATTCATCTATGAAATTAAAACTGCCAGCAACATCTGAGAACCTGCCAGAATGCTTATTGAAAGATCGAAAAACGTGAAGTCTTTACATAAAACTTTTAATTCTTATTTCTTTACTGTTAGAAATATATTTAACTTGCTTTAATTTCATTAAAAATCCTGCCTGTGATATGAGAAGGTAATTAAAAAAATCACATTTAATGAGAGACTGAATTGGAAACTCTCATTGGAAAATTTTTATTTTAAAATTATAACTCTGACTAGTAAAGAAATCAGAAAAATTTGAAGGTATCTCAGTATGAAGTTTTCTTATGCAATGCAGATTATCTGCCTTAATTTTAAATACCAGTGGCTGCTTAAAATTTCTAAAAAGCAAACCTCATTAAATCCATCAATTTTCAACATAATAATTATAAAGCTAGCTACAAAATGGACAATCTTAAAAACCTCCTCCTGAAAAGAACAAAATTACATTTAACAGAAACAGTTCCAAATTTACTCCTATCTTAAAATCCAAATCTTATTCCGAAGTAGTTAAAAATCATTTTTCGGCATAATAATAATGCTACCTACAAAATGGGCAATCTCTTTAAAAACCTCCTCCTAATAAGAGCAAAATAACATTTAAATGAAACAATTTCAAATTTACTCCTATCTTAAAATCTAAATCTTATTCTGAAATAGTTAATAGCACTAACATCAAGAAAAATTTTATCGAATTCTTTTGCGCAGCTGCTTAGTGATAAAGATAGCATTTGCAGCTATATAAAAATATAAAATGTATTCTACTTATTTCTGTCCATTTGTATCACTTTATTTGAATAATATTACATATAATTTATTTCATATTCTAAATTTAAACTAAAATTTTCAACTATAGGAGCATGTGCTGCAACAAAAGAGAGCATTGAATGGAATTTAACTAGAGAAGGCAAAGGTAATGCTCTAATTCTTGTTGTCGGTGGTGCATCGGAAGCACTGGATGCACATCCTGGTAGAGCATCTTTGGTATTAAAAAGGAGAAAAGGATTTGTTAGACTGGCTATCAAACATGGGTAAATAACTTTTTGACTGTATCATTTTTTCACTGGCTTTAAAATATAAACCTTGAAGATATTTCCAAATTATATATTTTATAATCGCATGCAAGTCCATTGTAGAGACTTGGAAAATTATTTTTGGCTGCATAAAAAATTTTCTAGCAAGTGGAGTATACCTGACTGTTATAAAAGATTATTATTATAGGACAACACATGCCAAATAATTTTCTACAGAAAGATATATATGCAGAAATATATATCTGTACACAAACATATAGTTATCAGTTTTTATTGGGTCGGTCCATAAATTCGTGCATGTTTTTTGGTAAATTTTTAAATAATATAAAAAACACAATTTAACATTTTAATCAATTATATATTTTCATCCATTATCTACAATGTCTCGCCATCTTACAGACAGCTTTTTTATGCCATTGCTGTAAAAAGACTGGTTTTGATGCAAAAAACTTGAATGTTCATTGTGTACATCCTGTTTAGAATTTAATTTTTTTCTCATTAAAAAAAAATTTGTACGGCACAAAATAAGTGAAAATCACTTGGGGCAATATCTGGGGAGTAAGCAGGATTGGCAAAGCTCCCAATTAAATTCATTAATTTTTTGCAGCGTTGTTTCAGTCGTATGCAGTCTAACGTTATAATGAAACAACACTTTCTTGTTATTCACCAGTCGTGGGCATTTTTTTTATCGATTCTGAGTTTAAACAGCAAAGTTGTTCACTATTAAACTTCTGAATTAATCGTTTGATTTTGTTCTAACAGTTCAAAACGTCCTGAAACGGGATTCATCATCAATGCTGCTTTTTCCAACTTTAAAATTTTTAAACCATTTCTTGGCTGTCCTTACACTAATAGTATGTTCACCATGTACACTATTAATTTTTATCGTTGCAAACCTGGAAGATTCACCACACGAAAATAAAAAATGTAGCACAGCACGTTTGTACTGATTATTTATATTCATCTTCTATGGGTACTAAAATGTGTTCAATATTTAAGAAAGTTAGTGATGAACTAAATAATATGTTAGTCAAACGATGACAAGTTTCAGAATTGTATTGTTTTAGTAAATGCGTTATATCGAATTCCACGTATACTCTGAATGCGCACGAACTTATGGACTTACCCGATAGTTCATATGTAATAAGTGCTTGTGGAGATGATGTGAAACATTAAAAAAGTGCATTAGCTTCATAATAGAATGTCAGTACTCAGGCAGTTGGAAGCAGGTGAATGCTAGGTTGTCTAAATTGAATTAAATTTGTCTACTTCTACTAGATGAACATTTAAAAAAAAACTAGGATGAAACAGAATTATCAGCAGTTTTAACTGCAAAGTCAATGTAACACCTTCCAAAAGCAGTATGGAAAAATTTCCTTTACATGTGGATTAATGAAATCAAATACAGTGTTACATTAAGTCAAGCAATAATTGTGAAAAAGAAGCAAAGGCAGTTTTAATCATGTTGAGAAACAAAAGAAGGATGCAAATGAAGATTTTGCAGCTGAGGCTCTTTTGATAGGTGGAAAAGTAAAAGAAAATAAAAACTTGTATAGCATATGAATTAAGAGAGAAATAGCAAACACAGACACAGAAGCATTTCCAACAGCTTTAAGATGCTTAATTGAATAAGAAACTATTCTCCTGATTTATTGTTGATTAAACTAACTATTTCTTCAAGAAAATGCCATGACACACATTGATATCTCGCACAGAAAAAATAAATAAATAAATAAATAAAGGTGTCTACCAAGATTCAATGTTATAACAAAGCTTGTTTGGAGAATAAAGCCAGTATATGTGTATCATATCAAAATCCTTAGACCTATGAAAGGAATTTTAAAAACAGTTTACTTGCCTCTGATTTGGGAACTTAACAAGACTGTGGATATTTCCCAAACTTGGTTCATGGTGTATTTTTGTGCATTCATAAAATTTTACTATGAACTTAAAAATATGAAACTCAAAGCTGTACTATTAACAGACTTGCTACAAACATTACTTGCCATTCTTTTGAATTAAATTTTTGCCTTTCCATTGCAGAAGTTTTATTTTAATGCAACTAATAGATCAGGAAGTTACATTATTTAAAAATATATCTTCATTTTATATTTCAACAGATTACTGATAAAAGGCAAATATAAACAATATAACAAACAGTTTTGGAAGCCCTGTAGCATTACAGATGGTAGAGAGAAATTGGTCTAATCTGGAGTAATTTAACCAACAGATTCATAAAAGGAATATGAAGGAAGATATGACTAGATATATCAATAATTTGAAACAAAAAGAATCGCAGGTTAACAGAACTGTTGATATTAAGGAGTTTTTGCTGGTTTTTAGTGAGAAATTTTCAACTGAAGGAAAAAAATTCACAGAATGAAAAATTAACTTGTAATGTAAAGAGAGTAATTCTAAAAGTGAGTACAAGAGATTTTCTGCAAATTTTATTGGTAACAATTGGCCACAAGAACAGAAATTATGGATTAGTTTATAGAAAATGACCAAGATTTAAAAGTTGAAAAGATGAGGTATTATCACTGTGATGACCTGCTGATGAGAGTTATTTAATAAATGAAAACTAAAACGAGTGATGATGCTGAACAATCTCATTAAACGACCAAGCATTTACTGCAAAGTTGCAAAAGATGAAGTGTTTATTTTTATATACTCTGTTTAATTATGTATTCCCCCTTAGCTTTTCCAGCACAAGGTTGTGAATTTTTATTAAATATTGATGTAAGTTTCCTCTTTTTCAAGGCATTCTGGAAGTGATTTTCTAAATTTTAAAATGGCTTTGTACATGTAGTAATTGTTTTTGTTTTACTAACTGATTTTCCCATGGATTTGAGTGCATGAGCTCTGATTGATGAAGCAATAATAGTGAAGCACTTCAAGAAAACTGGGACATATAATGGTCTCGGTGGTTCTGAAGATCATTGTACTTGGGAACACTGACTGAACAATGACAATGGTGATGACTTGCAAGTTGCAGAACGACACAGATAGCAGTTCCAGTTTTATAAAACATAATTTAAATCTTAAATAATGCATATATGTACTTTTCAAAATTTGAAAAGGAGGGGGAGGATCTTCTGGCAATGGTGAAAAGCATCATGCATGGGGCAAAAACAGATTGAGAAACACTGGTTTATATTAGAGACAGTGAACAAACAGAAGGAATGTATATTTATAGGAGTACTAATGTTGCTTATCTTGGCTGAAGCCTCTGTGCAACATGTAGAACATATTTTCTCTTAAATTCCTTCAAAAACTGGGAAGATATATATTTTCATGCCATGAAAACATTTAGAAGATGAACTTAGCTTTTTATCTTTTATTTCATAATACTACCTGAACTTGCAGCTTACAATTAATAGTTAAGTCAATAAAAGTGAATTCAAGTTTCTTGATCATTTAATTTTATGAAACTGCTGATTTCTTCAGACTGCAGTCTATTACAAACTGCCAACCCAGCAATAATTGTTTGACCTTTTCTTTTCATGTCTGCAAAGCAGCTGCCTCCTATTTTTACTTGAAACGTGCTAAGGATTTACTTTTTACACAACAGTTATTAGAAACCGAATCTGATTATATATTACAAATTGTTGAAAATAACAGAAACTAGCCAGAAAAAAATTCAACCACCCCACACATCTGCTTTTTGTTTTAAAGCATTGTTTATAAATTTGCCATTGCCCCATCTCCATCCATCTGGAAATTGTTGAGACCTGATAAATCAGATGCTGACACAATAGGTGCTTCAGGTGTATGTACAAAGGCTGTTTGCACACTTTTTAGACAATTTTCATTGTATTTACAGAAATGTTTGACAAAAAATTTTTGTGTTTTAAATGTTCCATTTGATAACCCTTATTTTTCACTATCTTTCTAATCATAATTTTCAGAACAATAAAGCTTTTTTAGTATTAAAAGGTGTATTTTTATCCCATTCCTCTTGAAAAACTTTCCAAAGTCCAAGGAGACTTGTATGTCGATGTTTGGACAATTCGCTTTATAAAAGTCCAAAATGCAAAAATCTGGGGATTATACATCAGAAGATTTGTAGAGATATGAGTGAAGAGTATGGTCTTGAGACTTGTTTCTTGGTTCATTTTTTTCCCCGGGAAATTAGCAGTGGATTTTGACTTTTGGCTGTTTGCTTTGTCTTGATGCATTTCTTCTGCTTGATGGATTTCATATTAAAAAATTGGGTATAAAATATGTTCCTGATAATATGTTAAGTAGGTAGCCTTAACAGTTTTCTGCACTATCTTAATTTTTATTTGTTGTTATATCAAAAACCAATAACAATTATAAATCCATTTGAAAAACTTTCTTTAAATTCTTTGAACTGTATTCTAAGATTTTTTTCATCTCTTTGATGATAGTAAATGGATCACTTTTTTATAGCAGTCATTTAAATATACACAAGATTCATCTATTGTGACAACATATTTTTTTTTTTCATTTTTGTTCGAATGTTTCTCAGAGAATTCTTCAACACATTCTGTTTCCAGCAACATGTTGTGGAGAAAGACTATGCACATTAGGTTTTTTACGCTTTTTTTAAGATTCATATCAGCATTAATCACTTTGTTTACAGTAAACACTGACCATTTTAATGATTGTTCAACTGTCCTTTTGACTTCACAGTTTTTTTTTTAACATTAAAGTTCTTTACAACATTCAAAACATTCCGGTTTTTCCCTGGATATGTATTTTGGACAATTTTTCTGCTTAAAGCTAGACTCTGACATTTTTTTCCTTCTTATTGACAATGTAATAGATCGTTGCTTTAGATACCAAAAATTCAAGGCTTCCGCAGCATTTTCAATGATTAAATACAAATAATTTTCTTCGGAAAGAGCACAAATATAGCCTTCTGTCCATTGTTTCTTTAAAAGTGCCATTTTGCATAAAAACAAAATTGTCAAGCAGCACACGATATTTTACACTTTGGAAAATATATTTGCAGTTAAATAATTTTTTTCCAA